GGAACCAGCAGCCGGTCGGAACCAGCAGCCGGTGGGAACCTGTAGCCGGTGGGAACCTGCACCTGACTGGACTGCGCCGGACGGTACTGATGGATCTATAAAGCAGAGAACCCAGAAACAACAACAGAGATTTAACCCAATGTTAGAACTAATAAAATGATCCAACAGAACCAACTTATCAACTGCAGAACCTGAAAAGCAAGAAAATTCTCCTAAATCTACTTATTAAATTAAATACAAACAGTAAAATACAAATGAAAGAGTTGAAATTAAATAAAACAAATAATTACATCAAATAAATGAAATTTCTGATCTGAGACTTTAGTCCTCTGGACCTGGAGATGTTCTGCAGCTGGCAGAAAGCCGACCCGGTTACTGTCTTATGTGGCTCTGAAGGTTGAGGTCAGAGGTCAGAGGTCATTCTGACACAGCTGTAATAACTGAAGCTGAGTGTTGACTCTACGTCGTTCCTCTTTAGGTTTATGACAGTCGCTGAACTTGCTTTTCTTGCTGTCTGTCTGTTTCTTGCGTCGCCCTGAAGCAGCTACTGGACCTCAGATCAGCAGCAGAACAACAGAATCTTCTGCAGGGTAAAAATAACCGAGCGGCTCAGACTGTAAATAACACAAACATCATCAGGATCAGAGACGTTCCTCTCCTTCCCTGACCTTCCCTGCTCTCCTGGAGCAGCAGACGGATATTTAGGTCTCATTAACGTCACAACCTGAACATCCAGACAGGAGTGGCAGAAATAAACCAGGAGCAGATAAAGATGTTTACATGTTCTGGATCAGTGAGGCGTTCACCCGTCTGCTGTTTGAGTGGCATCAGGCTGGCTGTTGAGAGGCGGGTCGGGTCAGGTCAGGACGCTCCGCGTTTCAGAGGGACGTCTGCAGACGCTGGAGCAGGTTCAGCTTAAGGACTGCAGACACAGACTGATTCATGTTTGAACAGTTTAGTTTTCAACTACAGGGACTCAAACTGCCTTTCTAAGGGCCGGGGGCCCGTAGCATGTAGAGGTTTCTCTGCATGTAGAGGTTTCTCTGCTTCAGCATGTTAGAGCTCTGTGTTTGAGTTCAGTCACAATGTCTGACAGTCTGGTTTTAATCTGACAGCTTCCTGACTGAAGGACGGAGTCGGTGAACTGGGAGGACGAGCAGGAGAGAAACACGTCCCTGTCCTCCTGTCCAGTGTTGTATAGTAACGAAGTAAAAATACTTCACTACTTTAATTAAGTATATTTTGGAGTACTTCATACTTTCCTCAAGTATGAACATTTTTGATAACTTTCACTTTTACTTCACTACATTTCCGAGCTTAATTTCATACTTTTACTCCGATACATTTTCAATGTGTGGTTTAGTTACTCGTTACAAAAAAGCGAGAGACAAACGCAACTGTTTTAATCCCACCTACTGACCGACTGCAACAAAGTCTGTTAGCCTGGGCTTGTTCATCTCCACCAATAGGATGCACAGGTTTCTCCTCCCCACCTACGTCAGAAAGTCCAGCAAACAGTCTGATTGGTTTTTGCTCCGTCTGTGTAGGTTTGTGCCGTTAAAATGTTCGATTGAGCAGCTTTGGTTTCCGAGAGATATTAAAAAGATTTTTTAGGCCATCCAGATTTCACCATCCCCGCATTTTGCTCCAAAACAAACCGAAGTGGGCTGGTTCGTTAATGCTCCGTTTGTGCAGGTTTGTGCCGTTAAAACAAACGCAGCAAAGTTGTTTTCAGTTTGGATTTTGGCTTTTCCAATATCCGGTGTGAGCGGCGCCTAACTCGAGGTTGATCCGATTCACGAACGCTAATTTGGGCCAGCCGGTCTCTGGTCTCCCCCTTCCTCAAGGTGTCAGAGTTTCACTCAGGGAGAGTCAACAAATTTTACATCCAAACTCTCCTGAGAAACTAATGGAAATAGATTTCTTGCCTTGTGGCCAACTGACACTAAATTCATGACACAAAATATTGAGTATGACTACGTCATACAAGCTGCAAGCCTAATTTTATCTGAACATAAACGAAAACAATAAATTAAGAAACGTCATACTCAATATTTCCTTCAGTCTGGATCTTAGGATATGGCTGGTTTTTATTTAGGTTTTATTCAATAGTTTTATATTTTACTACGTCATACTCAATATTTTGTGTAATATTTTGAGTCATACTCAATATTTTCAGTAATTGTAATCTTAAAAAGTAAATATTTTGGATGGACTAAAAAATAATTTTCAATATCTCGGAAACCAAAGCTGCACAAACTGAGCACTGACCAATCAGAGTATTTGCTGGATTATTTGAGTAGGTGGTGTCAGCTTCACTGAGGTCTGTTTCTCTTCTCCCATTAAACACCAAGTTAACTAAAATCTCTCCCTCTTCAGATGTCAATAAGCTGCATTTCCCTCCCAATTCTTTTTTCTTTTGCATAATAATCAGTTGTTGCACCTATAGTGTGTGAAGTAGAGGAATCGTAGTGGTTTTTTTTCTTCATGTTAGTCGCATTTTCTGTACCGACTATTTATTTTTTTCATTTTCAGCACTGACCTTACTGAAAGGGAAAACTTGAGGCTCATAGAAACTTTGTATTTTCTATCCTGGAGGGTATACTAAGAAGCTGGTTCAGTTGTAAAGCAGGTTAAGTTAATCTAAAGCAGGTTAAGTTAACCTAAAACAGGTTAAGTTAATCTAAAGCAGGTTAAGTTAACCTAAAACAGGTTAAGTTAACCTAAAGCAGGTTAAGTTAACCTAAAACAGGTTAAGTTAACCTTGTAGGTAAAGCACCTAATTTTCTTAACTAAATGATGCTGCAGGTTTATCTATTAGCAGGTTTTATTTTGCCTGCACTTGGTTCTGTTCATTATTTTAAGTGTATTTAACAAGTTTACCAAAATATAAAAAATGTCATTCAAACTGCATTTGACTTGTTTTACTTTTTACTTTTCATTATATTACTTGAGTTCATACATTTTTAAAGTAATTTCCAGACTTAAGTACAAGACATTAAGACTTGAACTCAAGTAACATTTCAATCAGTGACTTTTACTTTTACCAAAGTCATATTTTGGAGCGGTACCTATACTTTTACTTGACTCCGAGATTTCAGTACTTTATACAACACTGCTCCTGTCCTCCTGTCCTCCTGTCCCCGTGTCCTTTCAGAGTCACAGTCCCTGCACTGAGAGCCTCTGTGTCCAGGTTCTGGACAGCGTCCAGCGCTGCAGGGTGAATTCAGCTCGTTCTGGACCCGGAGAGGAATCCTTCAGTCTGGATCCGTTCAGATTCAAAGGCAGAATCAGCTCAGCGTCACGGGGAGGACAGATCCACCGGATCTGCTTCACTGCAGCAAAATTCATCAAATAAAAATAAAAATAATAAATCAGGTAATATGAAAGAAGTCCAAATACACATTTACATTTTCTGGAAAACTTGTTTTATGCTAAAGTTTTATTTTGATGTATTAGAGATGAATTTATGCTTTATCATTTTTATGTCTACTACATTTACTATTTTTTTTAATATGACAAGATTATATAAGTTTTTTTCTTTTGTTAGTTCATTTTCTCAGTGAAATAGAATTTTATTTATGTCATAATTTATTATGTAATCTTAGGATATTTTCTGGTTTTTATTTAGGTTTTATATTTTATAAATAGGAGTATTTAGTGTTCTAATTGTTTAGTTTTGAACCCTGACATGAACTCTTCTTTCTCCTGAGCATCTTTAAATAATCCATTAATCTGAGTTTGTCCCTCTGATCCGGATCGGGTCGGGGGTTCAGTGGGTTCAGTCAGAACCACTGGACCCAAAGTCTTCCAGCCCAGAAGTGATCAGTTACTAGTTACTTTTACTCGATTACATTTACTTGAGTTTCTTTTAAAAATATTTATACTTTTATGAGTATTTTAACATTTTGGTCCCTAAAATACCAAAATTTCCAGTTCATATTTTTGTTTGATGATGTAATTTTTGAACATTAAATGATAATTTAATCAGTTACTTGGTACCTGAGTCGACTTTGTGCCAAATATTTTTTTAATCTTGAGTAACTATTTGGACGCATCCTTTTATTTTTACTCAAATAAAAATATGTTGCTGTAATGTTAGTCTTACTTGAGCTTACACCTGAGTCTTACACCTTCCTGTGGAAGGTTCTGGTCTGAGTTCTGGGTGCCTGGAAACCTCCAACCGGAACCACTTCATTCTGGGCGGAGCGACGATGATGGAGGAGCTCCATCACAAGCCGTTTGAGGTTCAGATATTTTTCTCAACCTTTGACGTTTTGTGTTCCTCTGAAGGGCAGCATCAGTCTGTCAGTCAGACCCAGCAGGACGTTTGTCCTGAATACGTCCAACTGGGACACAAACAGCTGGCAGGGAGAGAGGAATCCTCTGGAAGGACGAGTTTGAGGAAAGGTTTGAAAAACAGCCAATGATGAAACAAACACAGGAGTTAAATCAGCTGGTAGAAAGAAGTCACTGGTTCAAATCTCGGCAGGTGAAACCGGAGCTGCAGGTCTGACTCCACCTGCTTCCTTCAGGAAATCAGCTCTTAGTAAAGCTGCAATGATTACAGCTTTCTGATTCCGATTTTGGCCCATTTTTTGGAACTGACTGGATCTGGTGTTAAACTGTTATGAGACACCTTCACTGTTCCAGTATTGCTTTACTGAAGAACAGCTAATACCTGTGAAACCATGAAACCTTGTTCTAACTGCACATGAAGTAGAGCTGTGGTGATTTTCACGGCTCTGTGGAGGTAAATAAAATCAGTTTCACATGTCAATATCAGACAACGTTATGGAAATTATGATTTCTTGGAGGCTTTAATCAAAGGCGCCAACAACAAAAAAAATCACCAGATTTTTATGACTCGGTCAGCTACTCTACAAAAACAGACTATTGTGCTGTGAAGTTGACAAATACGTTTTAGATTTTATGAATCCAAACGTCTGGAGGAAGCTTTGTTATTTCAGGAAGAATAAAACCAATAAATGGAGACGAAGCAGTAGAAAATCAACATTTAATCTACAGTTAGTTAGACAGGCAAACTGGAGATATGATCGTTCCAAACAGGATTTTAGGCACAGGGACGTACATTTAAAAATAGCATATATTATAGCATATATTATTCTATGTAGCATAAAGGCTTTTCAACACAACAACAGAAGCACTTCATCATTGGCTGTACAAAAATACATCTAAATCTCTCTTTATCTGCACTTTTAGGCGTGTCTGTGTCAGTGTTGTACGGATGCGTGTTTGTGGTCCTGCTGCTCAGCCGAAGTCGATCCGCGGCCGGTACTCCAGAACCATCGGATACGTCTGAGAGGCAGGGAGAAAATCAATGTTTAGGTCGAAAAAACACATCAGAGGAAAAACACTGCTGCAGTTTGTGGGCAGGATGCCATTTATTAATAACTTTTATTTAAAAAAAGGAAACATTTAAAATGATTAATACTCATGACAGAGAGAAACCCTGTATGAAGTCTGATTTCTGGTTCTGGTTCTGGTGAAGCTTCTGTCTTTTTCTTTGTGAATTAAAATCATTTCATCATATTTACTTTAATCAGCCAAACTAAACCCTGATCCACTGGACCAGTGAGGATTGGGCTTCCTGTTCCGGCAGAACCGGGTCAAACACAGTACATGTACCTTCAAATGGACAATCATTGATTTCTCTTTATCCCGTATTGATTCCAGACTCAAAGAAAGAAATCCAGGTTAAATTTATGAATTTATTTAGGATTGTTGTAACTGAGAAGCTGCAGCCTGATGGATGAGAAAACTAAACCTGTAAGAACACAGGACGTTCATCCAGTGTCACCTTCACTGGATCTGGATCACTGACACGATCCAGATCCTCACTTTCTGGAGGAAAGTTTCTTTTTCAGACCTGCTGATTTAATCAGTTTATTTTCAGTTATTCACACATTTTTTATAGAGCTCATCTGAAATGTTGGATGCTACTTGATATGCTATTGGCTGATGATTACAAAGCAGCCAATCCAGAAGCGTCATTCATTTTCCTCGACACTGATTGGCTGAACCTCTAACAGTGGACAAAAGGAAAACAGTAGCTGGTTTCTACAGAGGACATTAATGCATATTAAGATATATTTGGTGTGCCTATATTAATAGTGTTTCTAGAGCTTTTTAGAGCACATAGAAACACTAGTAGTGATTTTATTCTGTCGCCCCCTGCTGGCCAGGAGGACTGGATGCTGCAATTCAATAACTCAATACTCTTTTAAACTAATTTGAATAATTAATTGAACTTAATGTTTGTTTTATAACCAGGATTCATGTCTGATTGGGATTTAAATGACTTATTTCTGGTAAAGTTTTTCCAGACAACATTTGTTGTAAATTAGAACCGAATATAATTTTAGATATGCACAGTTGTCTCTGATCCCTGTGATAACCGTCGTTTCTGACATTTTTTCAGTCTTCACATGGTTACAAACATCCCAGCATTTTAACCTGACTGGGTTCCATTACTGAGGTCCAGTCAGGTCGGTGTCAGGAGTCCAAACTGGATCATCCTGGAACCGGTTGACTGAATAATCAGGTGGAACATTTTTTCTGGACTTGAGGAAGGGATCCATTAGTGGGAGTTACATCCACGAGGTCATGAGGTCACAGCTGGAGCTGTGACCTCATGATCCCCCTGACCTTGAATCTGCTGCCCCCTGCAGGCACAGCTGTCAGCACAGCGTAGTTACCCTCAACCAGCATCTCTAACAGGCTTCATTCATAACCCAGACCTGTGCAAAAGTTTTAAACCATCTCCATCCAGGCACGAAGCTTTTATCTAACTGTTTAACTTGGAGCTGATCCAGAGTGGAGTCAGCTTCATTTTGTAGCTCATTTTCAGGCCCTGCAGCTGACAGATACTTTGATTAAAGAGTAATGTGGATGCTCCTGCTGACACTTATTATTATTCTCAGAGGAGGGAGGAGTAACTATACTCAAATTAGAGAAAAACAACTTCAACAGATTTTTACTCAAGTAAAAAGTAACCAACCAAAATACATAACTGATCAAACGATCAATTATTTTATATTTAAAAATTACACAGTAAAAATATAAAGATAGATGGACATTTTGGTATTTTAAGCACCAAAATTATAATAAGTCATATAAGTAACAAAAATAACAAAATCAGGCAAAAGACCATTTTCCATATGAGTTTCTTTCAATATAAAACTTATGAAACTGTTAGAAAAACTGCAGTTGTGTCTCTGTCTGGTGGAGTTCTGGTTGAAACTCCAGTGGATACATCAGCAACATTTACTTGAGTAAAATAATCCATAATAATCCATAATGATAATATTATGTTTTCAAAAAAGTTACTTCAGTAAATGTAGCTAACTACTACACAGAGTCTGGTAGCTGCTGGTTATTCTTATGCGTTGCTCCTGTGAGAAAACTAAACCCACTCGTTCATGAGAAATGTTCTACAGGTTCCAGTTTCTGCTGCAGGATCTGGACTTTCTGGCAGCAGCTGTAATATCTGTAGTATGACTGAACTTACAGTCAGAATCAAACTGTAGTTTGTGCTAAAACAGAGAAGTCAGTCAGTCAGCATCTGTTCATGTTTCACTCAAACCCAAACCCACAACCATCCGGCAACTTCCGCCTGCATCCCCACAAGCCTCCACTTAACGCCTCGAACTCAGACAAACACAGAGGACAGTGAACTCAGATCCAACTGCTGCAGCCTCTGGCTCCACGCTGCACAGATAAACGCCTTCCTGATAATTAATGCGTTTGCACGTGCATGCAGACGCGGTCGGCTGAACAGGAAGTGAAGGAGACTGGCTTACGTTCTCTCCATGCAGCCGCCACCGGGTCATGTAGATGAACTCTAGGGTGTGATCTCTGCCCATGATTTCTCCGTTGCAGAGCACATCCAGCTGGAAAAACGGAGATCAGTGAGAGTCTGAGTCAAAGGCTGGCTGGAGGGTTAATCACGACAAAGACGAGGAGAGGGGAAGTTTGTTGAGGTCATGAGTGGGAGGCAGCTCTGAATATGCTAACGAGTGAGGGTGTCTGGTTTCTGATCAGTCAGCAGGAAGGAGCCGTTTTATCCTGGCTGACAGGAAACAATGACTTATGTTTAAATATTACTTTTAGTTTCCAGGGTTTCTAGGTAACTTCTAGAAGCTCAAAATGTTCTTAAACACTGACAGGTCACCAGCGGACTGTAACATGATGCAACCTGTTCCTTTTCTAGACCTTAAAGTTTGACCTCTAAGTTAATGTAACCTGTGAAACCCAGAAAGTTACTCTGTAAGTTTCAAGAAAGGAAAACTGGAAACGCCAAAAAGTCACCAGAGACAATTCACCAGCATGGTCCCTGAATGCACCATGCATTTAGCAAGTTGCTAAAAATGCAAGAAGTTCCAGAAATCTGGCCTGAATCTGATCAGTTGCTCTTAAACTGTTTTAAACTCGTTTGAAACAACAGAACTTTCTGCACTATGATTGTCAGACTCTTAATCTTTCTTTTCCTTCCAGGTGATTTAGTGAAGTTTAAACAAGGTGCAGAAGAAGAAACTGGAGCTGACCTCATAAGAGCTCGGCAGCTTGAGTTTGAGACTGAGGAACTTCTTGATGGTTCCCACAGTGACCGGCTAGAGCAGCGGATGAACCTCTTCATCAGGTCCTGGTTGACAGGAGCAGAGCGCGAGTTAAAGGTCGGTCAGGTTAAAGGTCAGGCGCTCCAGCGCGAGGCGCCGCTCACCGTCACGCTGCTCTCCCCGGACTGCCCCGCGTTGTGCAGGCAGTCCAGGCAGATGGCGATCTGAGGGTCGCTCCTGTGGTAGTCTCCATCTTCACCGCCCTCACCATCGTCATCGGCGCCCCCAGAGGCGCCGCCGTCAGGAAGACACCGCAGGCTCTCTGGACACAAAGACGGGTCAGGGCGAGGATGAAGAGGAGTTCTGCTTCGTCAGGGAAACGGACCCGGCTTACCTTGGCCGTTCTCCTTCGGCTGGTTCTTCTTCCAGAACTCCAGTTCTTGCTGTTCCTCTTCTGGCTCACAGCAACCAAACAAACATTTACAGGAAAACATCAGAGAAAATGCTTCAAAATAATAAAAATAAGAAAAGCATCTGACTAAAATACCAAAGTAAAAAAGGACTTTCAGATCTTTTTATAGCTTTTGCAATTCCAGTTTCAGTTCAACCAACAGTAGAAAATAGTTCCTCATGAAAGTCGACATGTTAAATTATCCCCAGTCAGAAACATGAACCTCAGAGAAGAAACTCTTGCTCCGTTTATCTCAGAAGGATTACGTCCTACAGAGGACGATGGGTGAAGGACTTCAGGGACAATGAGACATGAGACAGTGGATGGACTTCGTCTCTGGTGTGTTTCCTACCTCTGATCAGAACCGACATCATGAAACTGACAATGTGAATCTCTCTAACTTCCTCAGCTCGTCCTGCTATCCCCAACAAACTGCAGAGACAGGTGGAAACATCTGGCAGACTCACTTTCTCTGAGTCCAGGCACCAGCTTGAAGATGATCTCCTCCAGGGTGTTGTCCAGCCTGAGCCCAGAGAGAGGGACAAACGTTACAGAACCAGCAGAAAGAACAGATAAAAACCCGATCAGCGCAGAACCCCACCTCAGCATCTCCAGCGGGTTGGTCTCATGGACCTGGATGCCACATTTAGGACAGTCATTGCTCTCCTCAAAGTGCTGCACGATGCAGCTCTTGCAGACTGCAAGACACAACGGCCCACACAGGTTCAGGACAATCAGCAGCAGGTGAGATCAGCGCAGAAACAACATCCAATCACATGATGCCACGTCTGACATGCTGGACAAACCCCGAGCTGTCAGGTTTGCTGACAAAAAGGCAGCTTTAGCAACCCTTTAAAAGGTCCTAGTCAAAGACCAGTCATTACGGTTCCAACTTGGAAATACATCCTCAAACCTCTAATGAAGAAATGGTGAAAGATCACAAGTTACTCAACAATTTCATTGATCCAGACTTTCCTAAAGTGTCAAACTTCAGAAATGTTATGGTTTAGATAAATCTACGCAAAATTTTAAGGAACTATTCTCCTCCCTGCTTCAGCCGGCAGTTGGTTCTGACTTTATGAACCATAAACTGTGACCTGAGGGAACAGGAAGCTGGGGGAACAGGAAGCTGAGGGAACAGGAAGCTGAGGGAACAAGAAGCTGAGGGAACAGGAAGCTGAGGGAACAACAGGAAGCTGAGGGAAGAGGAAGCTGAGGGAACAGGAAGCTGAGGGAACAGTAAGCTGAAGGAACAGGAAGCTGAGGGAACAGTAAGCTGAGGGAACAGGAAGCTGAGGGAACAGTAAGCTGAGGGAACAGTAAGCTGAGGGAACAGTAAGCTGAGGGAACAGGAAGCTGAGGGAACAGGAAGCTGGTGTTTACTCACAGGTGTGCAGGCACTCGGTGACTGTGGTCGGTTTGATCAGGTAACCTCGGCACAGGTAGCAAGTGATGAAATGGTTGAAATCTTTTACCAGGTGCTTCCGTCCCGTGGCGGCCATATTTGTAGTTTTCTGTGTGTCTGGAGTCTCCTCCTAGTGTCAGGAGACTCGGAGGTCCATTCACAGCAGCAGAGTCAGAAATGAAAGCGCAGTGAGCGTAACGAGCAGCAGAGCAGGTCAAAGGTCCTACTGTATGAAGTCCTGCTCCATAATGAGCCTGAAGTTCAGCAAACGGCACAATCCACTCAGACGTTATTCCATCGTCACCAAACCTCCGAGAAAATTCTTCTGGAGCGTCTGTCCGTCACACAAACACATTCCACAGATCCACAGCAGGAAAAACGACGACTCGGCGAGCTTCACCTCCCGGCCAGGAGGCCATGTTTAATCCTTCAGGGGTCAAAGGTGAGCTAATGAAGAGCCGGCGGGACGAGGTGGTGATGCTGACCTTTAACCTCTCACTGACCTCACCTGAGGAGACAAAAACAGACATTTAGAAAAGCAGAAATCAAGTTGAGTTGACCTGTCCCCATCTGATGAGTCATCACTTCAACCAGCTGCAAATTCTGATTCATTTAAAATTTAAATGAATATTTAAATTTTAAATATTCAAATCATGTCTTTGAAGACAAAGAAACAAAAGTCCAATATCGAAAAGGAATCATAATTATTCTATTGATCATTCTGATGATTAATCGATTAATTGGATAAAAATGCAGATTTTTCTTTACAGAATTGTTTTGAATCTTAAATGCAAAATTTGTTGTATTAAAGTATTTATTTTTGTTTGTTTTGACCTTATTTCTTTTTAGTCTGTATAATCATGTTAACAATTAATTAATTGTTAAATTAGTTGACAATAATTGATTAATCCAATTAATCATTTCAATCATAATGTATTTCAGTTAGAAATAAAAATAACTAGACAACAACATTTTGTTTGTTATTTTCAAAGTTCTCCACTTTATAAAGAGGAACATTTATTTATGGAAGTAGCATTTAAGCTGCGTGACTTAAACCGGATCGTGACCCATTCCTCTGGACTGGATGGTTCTGTTGGACCTAATTGCCAGTAAACGTGCAGAACGTCATAATGAAACCCGTCCAGCAGCAGAAACGTCTCCGCTGACTTTATTTACCTCGTCCTGGTGAATCATCTCCACTTCTGCTCTAATCTTAGCTGTAAATTAAAGTGAAGAGCAATTAATGTCAGAGACCAACGAGTTTCACCACAGACTGATTTATTAAATGAGTCCAGCCTGAGACTAAATCATAGGAAGAGACAAGCAGAAGATCCACAGCCAGAACGAGTCCAGCTGGGAATCTGCTGGAAAAACTCACATTCACAGGATAAATATTGAGTCATGCTCTGTTGACTAATTTACAAAATTCTCCAGGTGGATAAAAACTGGATTTCAGTGACAGGAAGAGGAAACTCAGCTGGACTGACTGCAGAGCAGAAACAGGGTTCAAAGTTCAACCGGCTCACAGGAAGCTGGACTTTGTGAAATATTCAGAAACCTTTTGATTTTACCTCCATATGAATACTGAATGTATCCAAACATCAGAGTGTTTGCAGTTTTTGTTTAGATCAGGCCAGAGAGCAGAGGTGCAGCCAGACTCCCATCACTCCCAGTCGGTTCCGCCCAGAATGATTCTGTCGGGTCTCCAACAGCAACACATCCAGGTTTATTTGGTTCTGACTCCAACAAGGTTTCATATCATTTTTACACTCCAGCTGCTCGTTCGGCTAAATTCTGGTCTGTTCTTGTTTTAATGTTGGCAGAACTGCCATCAGATTCTTCCTTCTTATCAGAATCCATCATGGCTGCCACTAAACAAGCCTCACATGATAATCTGACATCTGCAGCATCAACAAGGTTTGGCTGATAACATTTTGCAGTATTATTGTGCTAACAGTGAATGTGACAATAAAGGCTACTTATTGAATCTCTGTTTCGGTCGCTGCATGACTGTACCTGGAAGGTGAAATGCATTGTGGGCCTTTTAGGTTCCTTCCTGTAAACTCCTGGAAGCATTAAGCAACACGCTTAATGCTGATCTGGAGACTTTCACATTTATGTGTGAAATGTTTTAGTTTGGTTCTGTTGAGTGTAAACTGGTGAAATATGACCAGAACCAGAACTGAGACCAACGAACCAGAACCAGAGTTGGACCCGATGGATGAATAAATTAATTTAATTATAAACAATCCTCAGTTTCTTCAATTTACTAATCAAGTGAATCTAATTGGTTTCTTGTTAACTGCAGCAACGTAAAAGCCAAAAGTTTCGGAACCGAACGCTCAGAAACTTTTCACCTGTTCATTGATGACGTCAGCCTGTGTCATGGTGCAGCTGTCCAATCAGGAGCGCTGTGGGTCAGAGTCCTGACCTGACAGGCTCCTGCCTGTCAGGTCAGATTGAAGCGAGTCCTACTTTCCTGTCAGGTGCCGCCGCGCGCGCGGCCGCTGCGTGTCGTCCAGGTGTGTGTGTGCGCGCGCGCGCGGCGCTGGTCCTCCCGCAGAGCTGGATCCAGCCAGTTTTACTGCTGCGACCAGAAACTACCCCGAGTCGTTTCTCCTGCCCAGAATCCTCCTCGGTGTCCGACACAAATAACCCGCGACGCGCGCGTGCGCCTGCCCACTCCTTCGCGCATGCACGCACGCGGAGTGGAACTGCTTATCTCATCGTTCAGGCGCGTCACGCTGTACGTCATCTGTGTCAAAACAACATCAGCAGGCGCCGCGCTGCGCCGTGACACACATGCGACACGTGCACGCGCCGCGCTGACCCAGGTCTGCACGATCCGCCGTACACGCGCGCAGATTCGCGCGCGCCGCTCGTCTACGGACGGTAAAAGTTACGGAGGATGACGTCACAGGCTTTAAACGGAACCAAGCAGCTCGATTTGCATGAACGCATCGCGATCCCGCATGTGCGCGTGCGTGGCAACGCACTTTGCGTTTCGGTGGGCATGGTGGGGGGGGCAGAGGAAGAGGAGGAGGAAGAAGAGGAGGTCCAGCCTGCCAGGCAACGTCAAAGTTTGTCCAGAACGCGGCGACGTCAGAGGATGAAGAAGATGAGAAATAATCAGGAAATAAAAACACGCGGCTCACCTCCAGCGGGACGTCCACCATGACGCCGCCTGCGCGTCCCGCTCACTTCAGCCCGGCCCGTGGGCGCCGTGGGAGGACAGAACACGGAACTGGTCGGCTCGGTTCTGCCCCAGTCCGCCCAGCAGTCAGTCAGTCAGGCAGGCAGGCAGGCAGGCAGAGAGCAGCGGTGGGCGGGGAGCCACCAGGCAGGCAGGGCGAGGAAACTGAAAGCGATTGTGTAACAGTGACTATCGGCCACAACACACACACACACACACACACACACACACACACACACACACACACACACACACACACACACACACACACACACCTCCCCCCTATACTTCCCCTTCCCCCCCCACTCACACTCACACATACAGAGCTGTATCTGCCGTGAGGAGATGAAGCTGCAGTTTGTTTTATTCTGATGTTGAATTTATCCAAATGAAAGATTCTCTAATAAACAGGAAACCATTAAAGATCTGGTATTATCCTTTATTCTAACTTCTTTACAATTATTCCTCTCATCAAACTGCAGTCCTCCAGATCCGCTGGATATCCTGCAGGTTTCAGATGTGACAGGACAAAACACTGGAATCAAATGGATTCATTTCCTCCATCTTGTGTAGATAAATTCTCTAATGACCTCATTATTCTGTTCAGGTGCTGCAGCAGAGGCTCATCTAAAAGCTGCAGGGCCCTGGAGGGCTGGAGTTCAACACCTCACACCAAACTGGAACCTGAACGGATTTGAGCACCAGGTTCATGAAGTTCTCCACATGGAGCATTAAATCAGGAGGAGTGAACCTGGGTCTATTTGGTCCTTCGTTGACTGTGGAAGCACCACTCACGTTAACGGGTCAAACAGTAAAACTTTTACTTTGTTTGCAGAGAGAAGTAGGCTTCATCGTTCAAGCGCGTCACGCTGTACGTCGTCTGTGTCAAAACATCAGCAGGCGTCGCGCTGCGCCGTGCCGCGCCGTGACACACATGCGAGACGTGCACGCGCCGCGCTGACCCTTTGCTAGATCCGCCGTACGTGCGCGAATCTGCGCGCGTACGGAAGTCCTGGTGACTTCCTCCAGAGTCACCAGGACTTCCTCGTCTGTGTTGGACCCACTGAGTCATCATCCTCTTCTTCTGCCTCCACATCTTCCCAGAGTTGCTCTCTGGGGCCTCAGCTCCACGATTCCCTCATGAATCCCTCAGTTCACTGTCCCTATGACCTCCAGGTGACCCGAGGTTCATCAGTTCGGTCTCCCCTGCCTGCTCCCTGTGAGTCGTCAGTGGAAGGTTTTTACCTTTCCTGTAAATAATGAGTCGTCTGATTACAGTGAAGCATGTTCTGCTTTAGAATGAGTTCAGGGCTGCACCAGTCAGAACAAACCCTCCGACTCTTTCCGAGGCCCAGCTGGAGGGAAACAGCCTTCAGTGACATCACTCTGCGGGACATGACCCCTTGTTATGGGGAAGTGGACTGTGTCACCATGGTAACCACTGTGGGAACTGTAAAATATCCACGATGTTCTGTTTGATTCTTTGATAACTAGACGTGAAACGATGAATGATCAACGAGCAACAACTGAGAGGAAAACTGCTGACGTTCATGTGAGTCTGAATGCAGACCGGATGGATGGACGGATGGATGGATGGACGGATGGACGGACGGACGGATGGATGGATGGACGGACGGGACGGACGGACGACGGACGGACGGACGGACGGATGGATGATGGATGGATGGACGGACGGATGGATGGATGGATGGACGGACGGACGGACGGACGGACGGACGGATGGATGGATGGATGGACGGATGGATGGACGGCGTGACAGGACACAGGGACAGCAGCGCTGGACGGAGAGGACGCATCCAGCTGTGAGACGGGGACAGCAGCCGTCTCGTCTCTGTATTTTTATCAGTTTATTTCAATCCCTCAGCATCACATGCTGGATCTATTGTGTAATGCTCTACATAGATCCGCTCTACATGGAGACGTCAGTTATATTTACTGGAGCTCGGGCCTGGACCGGGTTATTTATATGATCAGTGCTGGAAAAGCTGTTGGGCTCCTTACAGATTTCACACTCTCACAAATAAATGTTTCAGATCATCGGACGACTATTTATATTATGAAAACATGATTAACTTTATTACAGCTTCTTCTTGTTTCTTCCACCAATAAAACTTTTACTGATATGGATGAATGTAAACAGACTTTTGATGATTTCATTCCACAGTATCTCAGTCTGATATAAGCCCATACTTTGACTAGGCCTTGCCAAAATCATGATTTAATTATTTTTTTTACGCTGCTTCGAGGTTTTATAAACTGGTGCAAATCCAAAGCATGCTAAAGTCACATTAACAGAAGAGTTTTACTGGCAGAAAATCCTGAAAGAGAAAGTTGAATTGTACTGAGAGCAAAATCTGGTTAAAACGAGAAACATTCTCGTTTTAATGAGGCATAAAAATGCTTTCCACTGACAGATTAGGACTTGTTAACCGTTTCCTCAAGGCCACTTCTAAAAATCCCAAGAGGTATTGCTGTTTACCATTACAATTTCTCACTTAGAAGATATTTTGGTTTTAATGATTTATACATTTTATTATAGCAAGTTTTTTAATGAATCTCGTTAAATCGATAAACTTCTGAATTTATTTCAGGCTTTGTCAGTCAAACGTTTCAATTCAACGTAACTGTCTGTCTCAGGATTTCCAGGTAGCAGAATGGTTCCACTGGTCACAGCATGCTGGCCAGTGGTCCCGCATCATCATACTGCCACCACCAGTAGTATGAAGTTCTGGTTGTGAAATGCTGTGTTTGTTTTACAGCAGATGTAACAGAACCAGAAAGTATCTCGGGTTCATCATCAATATTTTCGCAGTTGGATCATCAGGACGGTTTTGGGGAATGTGAGACGGGTCGTTGTGTTCTGTTGGGTCAGCGGTGGTTCTGGTTCTAGAACTCTACCACGGTGGCCATTTTTCCAGAGGTTTCTGATGTTGTGCATTAAAAGAGAAGGTCTCTGATTTCCTTCAGCTCCTCCCTGAGACGTAGCAGAACGCTGCAGCAGCCTGTCCTCCAGTCCTCCTTCTCTGCTCATTGTTCTGTATTCTCACTCTGCAGGAATGTGGATCAACTTTTGAACCCCCCAATTACTGACCGCTGCTTCTTGAATTCCCCTCCTCAAGCCCTCTTCACTTCCCTGCACATCTGATCCGCTGCAGTCTCTCTGCTCTTTAAACTCGCCCGTCTCTTCCTCTCATCCTTCTTTCCGTCTCCTTCGTCTTCCATTTTGAACCTTTTCAGTCTCCTCTCTTCCTTGCATCATAATTTCTGGTTGCCGGTCTTCCGACCATCTGACTCATCCTCAGTTGTACTTTCACATCAGATGACTCATTGTTATCTGTGCTTGAGTTTCACTGCTCTTCCTGAGTGAAGCTGTTCCCTGTAGTGAGGGTTTCTTACCTGTTTTGCATCGTTTTGTTCCCTCCTCCTCATCAGAACCGGCCCAGAGCTGAGGAGGGAGGCCGGTCCCTGAGAACGAAGCGAGCAGCAGCTGAGCGGCAGCTGAGCTGCAGCACATACCAAACTGGGATCGTTTTCAGGGTGTGATCAGATCAGAAACTCATTCATCACTGCAGTAGTTTGGAGAAAAGATGTGATGATGGTGAAAACACCACTGGATCCACTTTAGGATCCACTTTAGGATCCACTGAATCAGCACCAAACAAACCGATTCCTCCACTTCGGTCATCATGTTCAGCTTTCTGCTCATCCAACAAACTGAAAACACCTTAATACATTTAATAAACATGAATCATACACGGTTTTGAAAACGAGAACAAAGGTGCAGAAAACTTGAACATAATAATAATTTTGGCTAAAGCAGCAGAAAAATTTTTATTTTGGAGCTCAGTTGCACTTTGCAGCAGAGGTTTGTTGAAACTGTTATCACATTATGACAGTTTGTTTTGAGACAAATAACCTGTGAAAAGATCCTCCACCTTCCCAAGCTGGTCAAAAGCAACCAATCAGAGCCAGGAGGAGGGACTTAATGCTGTCAATCAACAGCAGTACTCTCTGCTAAACGTGTTGATAGTGGATAAATAACTGTAACAGAAAAATCTTTTATCTGTGTTCGTGGCAGGCTGTGGTGAATTAACTGTAGCAGAATGTGTAACTTTGTTGCAAAAGGGAGGGGGAGGAGCACCAGAGTGATTGACAGCACTAAAACCCTCCCCCTGGCTCTGATTGGCTGGTTCTGACAGCGTTGTATTTCTGCAGTTAGGAGCTAATTTTTTTTTATCGATTATTTGTTTTATATTGTCACAAATGATGATTCTAAGAAATACTTAAAAAAATTTTAATAACAGTAACTTGCAGCGTTAAACATGGCAGAAAGTTGGACTTTATCCAGCTGAACTGGCTTTCTGATTCCTTCTTTCATTTTTATACATTTTCTCCCTGAACTTCAACCTCAGCTAGATGAGTCTGAATGAGACTTTTAGAAATGTATTTATTTCAAACTCATTTTCCTGGCATCAGCTTGTTTCTCCAAACGACAAGCCTCACTGGCTGCGTTTAGTTCACTCACTTTATCTAGTTGCTGTAATTCTGTCACATCATGAGGCTTAAGTAGGAGCTGATCTCTGCTGTTTTGTTAAAAACAAGCTGCAGGGCCCACTGCCGCTCCGTCTTCCTCATGCATCAGTAACGCAGCATCGTTCCTGAGAACGGGTCAGCCAGTTATCGGCCTGCAGCTGGACAAACAGCTGACCATTCTCTGCATTGTCTGCTGCTGTCAAGCGAGAAGCCTTTTCCGCCTCCACAGTCCCTCTGTGGTCGCTGTAGCGACCAGCTGTCGTCTCCTGTCTTTAAACTTGAACTCGGGGATCGACGGCGACCTGAGTTGGTTCTGCCGTGGAGGAGAAACTCCTCTCCACCCGGACCAACCAGCTCCACCTGTTTAACCAGCAGCTGGAGGAGGATCACAGAAACCACATCAGGTCAGCCTGGTTCACAGCAGGACGGACGGTGTGTGTGTGTGTGTGTGGGTGTGTGTGTCAGTGTGTGTGTGTGTCAGTGTGTGTGTGTGTGCGTGTGTGTGTGTGTCAGTGTGTGTGTGTGTCAGTGTGTGTGTGTGTGCGTGTGTGTGTGTGTGTGTCAGTGTGTGTGTGTGTGCGTGTGTGTGTGTGCGTGTGTGTGTGTGTGTGCGTGTGTGTGTGCGCGTGTGTGTGTGCGTGTGTGTGTGCGTGTGTGTGTGTGTGTGCATGTGTGTGTGTGCGTGTGTGTGCGCGTGTGTGCGTGTGTGCGCGTGTGTGTGTGTGTGTGTGTGCGTGTGTGTGTGTGTGTGTGTGCGTGCGTGCGTGTGGGTGGTGTGTGTGTGTGTGCGTGCGTGCGTGCGGGTGTGTGTGTGTGTGTATGTGCGTGCGTGCGTGCGTGTGTGCGTGTGTGTGTGTGTGTGTGTGTGTGTTTACAGCAGGTGTTGTCTCTGCTCTTGACCTTTGCCACTGTGAGGATGATGGAATGTGAACACATGATCTTCGTCAGACACGCCCAGTTTCTCTGACATTGGACAGACCGACCCTGATAGATGAATGCTTTCGTCTCGTTCTGTCTCTGCACAGAACGAGACGTCCTTCATCATCATCAGCTCCCCGATGATGATGAAGGACGCATCATCATCATCATAATGTTGAAGGAACCAAATTCAGACAGTTTGAGTTTAAAATCAGTAAAAGCAGAATGATTGAGGTTCATTCGCACCAGTTCTGTTTTGTTCGCTTTAACCCAACCTGAGCTTGTTTGCCCAGAAAGTCCGGTTCATTCAGGGAGGCGTGGATGTGTAATTAAACTGTGATTTACCAAGGGTGGTTTTCTACCTTAGATACTCGGTTCGATTGTGTCTACATCCAGCCCCTTCGGCTGCGGTTCTCTTTCTCTCTGCTGACTCAAACCAAGCTGTTCCCCTCCTGGCCTGTGGGGGCGCTGCACCAAGAACCACCGAAGGAAACGACACAAAAACTTCTGAAGACGCTGAACGCAGCTTCTTTCTTCATCAAGTGAAAACATAAATGGAGTGGCGTCAGATTTTAGCGTTTGGAGTATTTCCTTTTAGTCTTACGTAAAAATAAAAACACAGAAGCTTTTCTCCCTCAATATGAGGCTAGCGCATTTGTTTTGCTTGTAGTTACCCAGAATACCTTGTGTTGCAATCCACTTCCTGCTTTTGGAGCGGTCTCTGGTCCACTTGGTGTTCACAGTTCAGCCGAACCCAGACTGAGGTTAGTTTGGGGGTTGGGTCATAATTTACATCAAAAAGTGATTTCTTCCTCACTAGATTCAAGCATGAACTCTTTTCAGTCTGATGTATTGTTGAGTTTGAAGCAGCAGATGTGCAACAGAAAGAAAGAGACTTTATTCCAGATGTTGATGTAAAGTTTGTTATTTTCTGTGTTAAATCAGAAGCTGTTGAGGTAAAGTGAGGATGTCAGCGCTCCTTCAGACATGTGCTGGAGGCTTTTGGATGCTGTGAGTTACGATCGGAGGTTGTCTCTTAGTGAAGGATTATCTTCACCCTCATAAACAGCTCTGAGACCCTCCATCCAATCCCGCATGGAGCTCCTTCCTCTTCTGCCAAACGGGGATTCTGGGTGAGCGGAGGATTTATGCTGCTAATAATAGAGTAAACTAGATTTATTTCCAGGGAGCGATTCTGCAGGGGCCTATTTATAATTACAGAATCCAATGATACATCCCTTGGGGTTTATCGCCTGACCCGGCTACCGGGACGCAGCTGACCGAGCAGCTCTGACAAACAGACAATGTGTGAAGACGCTGCTGGGCTGACGACAGACATCCCAGGAAGATATGAGGAAGGAGTGGCGCTCGTTTCTGGTTTGTCTTCTTTATCTGAGATGGTGATAAAAGCTGATGAAGCTGTGCCGCTGTCAGCAGAACATCACACTTCATCACGCACAGAAGTAACTGGCTTGTTGTTGTTGATTCTCATGGCTGTTTGCAGGGAGAGGAGCCTCTGCACAGATCACACAGCATTAAAGGAGATGTACGATCATCACATTTTTCAGGGTTTTCTGCCTCCATTCGGGTCTGAACTAAAACAAAGAAAAAACAAAAACACCCAGCCAGTTTTTTAGTTCATGTTTTTTGGTGTCTGGAAAATGAGTCATTTCAAAAACCTTCCAATAATTGTGAAACCAATAACAGACAGTACATTTCTCAGGAGCCATTGTTAAAATCATCATTACACATCAGTCTGTTGGTCAATGTTTCATTCATTGATGCTGAGCAGAACCAGAACCAGCAGACCTGAGGGTTCTGGAAGGTTGATGCAACAGCAGATCTTTAAGACATTCAGTCATTTATAAAATGCAAACAGCATCTTATTCTCTCAGTGAAGGACTGGGAGTGATGTGCTCCATCTTACTAGTTTTTGTCAGAGCGCCAGCAGCAGTTTCTCGATCAGCAGCGTTCTGGAGGCCTGGCTTTTGCTAGTCAGACGTGTGAAGACCCTGTTGCTCTATATAGATCTAGTAATATCAAAAAGCTATAGATCTAGTAATCAACTAGATCTATAGCCCTACATTAGCTCCACAGATAAGTTCAGTTTTGTTTCTGTTCAGAAAGTTTTGGCACATCCACACATTTATGACACGGTTCAGTGGTGGACAGCTCACCAGAGTCACCTGGTGAGCTGTGCATCATCTGCGTAGTTATGGAAGCTAATCTTCATTCCTGATATAATCTGAGTCGGTGGAGCATACATAAATGTCCCTTCAGGTCCAGTGGTTCTATAATCTGAAGCAGCTGAATCAAGGAGGAGGTTCAGTGGATTCCTAAGCAGTGACAGTTTCCTCAGGAAATCTTCCCATTTTTGAAGATCAACACGACTCAGAGGTTTAATCTTAGCTTGTCGTGTCTCTGACTGGTTTTAAACCATTAAGTGATCATCAGTGACTGGACCGCCCATCATTCCTGACATTGATCTGCCTCTGGCTTGTGATTGGTGAGCGATGAGCTCAGCCTGAGTGGCTCATGCGTCCCTGTTTGATGTGAAACGTGAAGTTTGACCACATTGACCAGCTGGCCAGGAAGGTGACCGCCCCGCTGACGGACGTCCTGATGACACCGGCTCTGAGGAGACGTTTGGAAGTGAAGCTATTTATTGCTCCAGCATCACCGACCTGTCTCCTCATGGTGACATCACTGCATTTTCCCTGCATGCTCCGCATGGTGGGATTAATGACAGGAAAACGGATCACTCTGTTTCACATTTGATTTAAAACATGAGCCTCCTCTAAACACGGCTGCACTTCTGTTTACAACCACATTTAAAAGATCGTTTGGCTTTCAGTTTTGCTCTATAAATTTGATAAAGTGATGCTGAGTTGTCATTAATTAGCAACTTGTTTAGAAGCAAATGTTTTACTTTTAAATCTTCATCATAAAGCAGCTTCTGTTTTAATATTCACATAAATACACATTTTATCGATATAACTTTGTTTAGATAATTTTTTAGATGGATACAACACAAAAAGGATTTCTATTAATAGTGACTCACATCACAGGTGATGGACAGAATTATACTGTACTAACAGAGATGGAGAGTAGACGAGAGGGCACACTCTGATTCAAATTCACATCCAAATTAATTTTAACGTCAAATTAATTCAAGTTACATATAAACAGCTGAAACTCTGAGTTTGCCTCAGGAAACGAGGATAAAAATCCATCTCTTGATCATCATTGATCAATATGTTTGATGATCACTTTAAAGATGACTTGACGAAATGATTTGGTTTTTGATATTTGACAAAAAATCATGTTTATTGCTTGTTTCATAACTGCTGGCTGTATTGTGTTTTCCTGATATAAAATACAAATAAATTTAATTTGACTCTCCAGGATTTATGGTTAATAGTGAATAAAAATATAATAATTTACTCTTCAATCTCAACTTCAAGAAAAATTGAATCATTTAGTGAAAAAGAAATATTTCTACTACAACTAAAAGAAAATTAGATACATTTCTTTCAAAACATTTTTACAAAAAATGTACAAATTTCCTTGTAACTTTGACGACAATTAGAATTTAAATGATATATTAAAACAAAGTCACATTTTTCTGAAAAGCGAGCTAAAAACCCCAAAATAAAATACAGTGCAAATTAAAACGTACATGTGCAAAATGAGCTAAAAACCTAAATCAAAAAATACAATCAGATAAATTAAAAGATAAAATAAAAAGAAAAATGAGAACTAGAAAATTTAAAGTTTTTCTTTTAAACATTTTCAAGTTCCCAGATGAAACAAAATAAAATGTACAGAAAGAGTTTTCACCTTGACATGTCAGCAGAGTGACACCTCTGTCTTGTGCTCCATCTTTGCATGCTGACACACTGATGTCCAAACTGGGAGGACTGGGGGCCGGACGCGTCCCAGCAGCACGAGGACAGTAACACGACGCCGACTGGACGCTTTTCCTGCCTCATATAAAAGAGCCGCAGGCTGCAGAGGGACAGACGCAGAGGGACAGTACCGGGACACCACAGGACCCAAATCTGTCCCAGAACCTCCAAGCTTCTCGGGATGGGACTGCTGAGTGTGGAAGAACTGGTAGGTTCTGCTCTGTTAACTGGGAATGATGGTGTGCCTGATTAGAGGCGTGTAAATATACAATTGAACATCAGTTATTGTTGCATCTTCACCATAAATGACGTTTTGTTTTTAATACGACTTCAGTGCTCAAAAGAAATTATTTTATTTAATTAGCAGAAATATTTTCACAAATATTGCAGAAAAATACTAAAACACATTTTAGACACCATAAGGTTTGTGTGTTGAAACGTTGTGTCTCATCGCTCCAGGTGACCGGGAAGAGGTCAGAGGTCAAAGATTCCAGCGACTTCCCGGGGGGCAAGTACGAGGCAGCCGTCCACCAGGAGAAGCGGGATGACCGTCGGTCGCTCCAGGAGCTGCCAGGGGGAGGCGGAGCTGCGGAGGAGAGGTCAGCGTGCTGGCTCTGAACGTGAGTCTGCTCTGCTGGATCCAGAACCAGAACCAGAATCAAGCTTCTTTACTCATAAACTAAACTCTTGTTTCCGTCACATTCCTGGTTCTAAAGAAAAACATCTCAGTGTTTTAAAGAGGTTTTAAAAAAATCTTTAACATCTTTTACTAGTTAGAAAGTTTAAATGTTGATGAGTTGCATTGTCACATGCTAACATGAGAATTTGGTGACATTAAAAACTAATATGAAATATAATGTTCCATATGTTCATTTTGTGCTCACAAGCTTCTTCTTTGCTCTTCATTTCTTCCTTGAACTTAAACTAGGACAAAGTTGAAACTCTGCTTTGATTTCAGGCTTACTACGCAGTTTCACCTGCCTGTGCTGCCCCCTGGAGCTACTGAAGTGCATAACAACGTGGATTAATCAATTACCGTACCTATTTATTTGCCAGGCCAAAAGCTAATCCCATCATCTTCAGAAGATATGTGCAGCTGAATATTGATTTAAAATATAGCATACAATATATGATATTTACAAATGAAATGCAGCAACACACATTACAACTCGTCCTTTCTAAAAAGGTTAAAATGTTAAAGGGTGCCATTTGTTAAGTTACACAATCAAAAAGTAACAGCAGTAATTTGGATTATTTAGAAAAAAACCCATGGGGGTTTTATTTTTTATAGTGAAAGATAAAACAAGTTTTCAAAAACGGTTTCCCTTCCTGGGATACTGGATGTTTTCTGCAACTCATCTCTACTTCATAAGGTAATGTGTCTCCTGGTATCTTGGTGGACTGTAGAGGACATGTTTCAAGTTTTCTGTTGACCTACTGGGTGCTTTCTTAGAACTTCACTAAATGCTCTGTGTAGCTTTAGAATGGATTTCTAAAACTGATGTTTTCAGTGTCTTCCTGCATTTACTGGGCATCTTCCAGGTGTTTTTCCCAGTCTGCTGTGAATGAATCTAAGGGACATTTTCAGTGCCGACAGGGTTCTCTCTAAAACCTATTTCTCATTCCTCTGGTTTTTGTGGCCTTTTAAAAACTGTTTTTGTCTCTGCTCCATCAGACGGACAGAAGCGGGAGGCTGAAGCTGGAGACTGTGGACGATCTGTTCAACATCCTGCAGCTGAGGAAGAGGAGGAAGGAGAGGAAGTCTTCTGTGTTCAAGAAAACTGAACCGGAACCAGAGACAGTGGTAGGACATCATCAGGTTGTTTTCACCTGAACCAGAGCAGGTTCCAGTTGGATGGAAGGTTCTGGACTTCCATGGAAGGATGGAAGGATCTGGACTGGAAGGTTCTGGACTGGATTGGTTACGGCAGCAAAGCGTTGTTTGACAGAAAGGGCAGTTTAAACTCTGCTGCCCTTTCTGTGTTTTCCAGCCAGAAACGGTGGATGAGCAGCTGTTCCTCACGGCGGTTATGGAGAACAAACTTCCTGTGGTGGAGAAGTACCTGGCCGACGGAGGAAACCCAAACGCTGCAGATAACGTGAGAGAGGAACTGTTAAAAACCATGGAAATGTCTCTAATTTATGGAGTTTGTGAATAAAATGCTTTTTATTTTCCAGTTTCAGAGAACTGCTCTGCACAAAGCTTCCTTCAAAGGACATGTGGAGGTGATGAGAAGACTTGTGGAGGCCGGCGCCGCCATAGAGCAGAAAGACAAGGTCCTGCTCTCTCTTCTTCTGTCTCACAGACCCCATGACACACACAGCCTGACAGTGATGTGTGTGTGTTTGTGTTGCAGCTGGAGGCCACAGCCGTCCATTGGGCCTGCAGGGGAGGCAGCCTGCCAGCCCTGCAGCTCCTGCTCCACCAGGGAGCCAAGTTCACCAGCAGAGACAAGGTTAGTTTGCCTCTCCCTGGTGGCGACACGCGGTACTGCGTGTGCAGATGTGTTGAGATGATGATTCCTCCTCCTGATGCACTCAGCTGCAGAGCACGCCTCTTCACGTCGCTGTGAGGACCGGACACTGCGAGTGCGCCGAGCATCTCATCCACTGTGGAGCCGACGTCAACGCCAGAGACAGAGTGAGCATTCAGACACTCAACAACTCATCTGGTTGTTGGATCCATAAACGCTGCAGGTCGCCTCTGATTTCTCTAATACCCCACAAAAATCCAAAAACCTTACCAAGTACTTTAATCTTAGGACACCTGAAATAAGACAAAACTAACTTACAACTAACTTTTCTGCAAGAAAATGTGTTAAGTCAATAATTTCATAATGTTGGTGAAAACTACAAGTTCCACTGGCAGATTATTTCACTTATCACATGTAAAATGAGTGAAATAATCTGGCAGTGGAACTTGTACTTTTCCATGAATATTAAGGAATTATTGACTTATAATATTTTTGTCTTATTTCAAGTGTACCATCTTATTTTGAGCAGAGAGTAGACCAGAACTACTTGATAGGGTTTTGTGTTTTTGCAGTGTATTTAACGTTTCTGGTTGTTTTTGTGTCTGCCTGCAGGACGGAGACACACCAATGCACGACGCTGTGAGGATAAACCGATTCAAGATGATCAAGCTGCTGATGATGTATGGCGCCAGCCTCAGCACCAAGAACAGCGTAAGTCCCATCGGCGCTGCTGGACTCCAACATGGGTCCAGGTCCAGTAGAGCTCAGTTTGGTCTGCTCCTTCTCTGCAGGATGGAAAAACTCCAATGGAGACGCTGTATTCATGGCAGAACGGAGCCAAGAGCCTGCTGTGTAACTTCAACGAGGAGAAGCCCTGATGGCCTGGACTGTCTGCAGAAAACAGACGATTCAGGGATCTGAACCGGCAACCCGCTGGCTCATTTGACCTTTGGTCTCCATCAGGGAACATTCACTGACAATGTGAATCCAAGCAGGAAGAGTTTTGTCTCTTCGGAGTCAACTGGACGCTGCTGGTCGGTGTCCAGCTGAAGACGATTTCTTCTGTTTTCCTTTATTTAATATTGAGCTGAGTTGAGTTCAGTGACAATGCACCAGATGGTGATTAATTTATGGATGAATGAAATATTTATTTATTGCCAGATGTGATTTATCTAACAGTGAGCGGTTCGTTGTGCTGATCTGCACCTGAAGCAAATCGTCTGCTTTGTGCTGTTAAAGGGAAATAAGTCAGAACGAAGTAAGTTTGATCTCCAGGTTGGACAGAATCTCTCTCCTTTCCTTCTAGTTTTTATTCATTCTGATGATCTGTAAATGTCCTGCTCCTTTTCACCCTTCTGTTCGGGACAAAAACTGATAGAGAGTTCTCAAAACGTTCTCCCATCAGGTGACCATTAGGATATTCAGGCTCCACCTCTAATTATGATGCTGATGAACAGAGAGACAGAGCTGGAATGCTGCTGATGGTTCAGAGGAAGTTTGACATGCAAAGTTATTGAAACAAATGGATTTTGTAAGATGTCTGTAACTTGGTTTTTATTGATTGAAATATAAATATTTAATAAACTTGTCTTTGATTTGAACTTGTTTTATTCTTGTTTGTCTTCAGCAGACATGGATAGAAAAGTTAGCAGCTGACAGCACTTGCTGAATTTTTCAGTCTAGTTAAAGTAAAAAATAGCTGTGTGTTTAAAAAAATTACATTACAAAAAAGTCAGACGAACAATGGAATATCATAATTCAGAAATGACAGAAGTAACAAATAACATTAACTTTGGTAAAGCAGTTGAGGCTATTTTTACTTTTACTAGAATATTTGATCATACAAGTGTCTTTACTTCTACTTGAGCAGATAATATAAATAGTTGTCACCTGTCTTCTTGTCTGACTGCTGCTTTCCGGTGATTAATTTCACATTCCGAGCTCAAATATAGTCCATGAACGCCACACAGCTACAGCGCATGCGCAACTTCTCTTGAGCCCCTATTGGACCCTTTCAAACGCAGAACCGCGACTGTTTATTGCGATGTAGCTCGACGCCAGTTAGCATGTCAATTTGAAAAGAAGAAAAAGTTTTTTTTGTTTTTTTTTTTACTGATGTGTGTAAATGCTATGAATGTAAAGCTGCTATGTGAGTACCGTTTCAGTTCTGGGTGTACTTGTAATATGAAAGCCGGGTTGTTTTTTCTTTAAATTGACCGAACTTTAGCAAAGTGTTAGCCGTGTCCAGCTAGCCGTGTTAGCCGTTGACAGGTGGCAGCGTTTCATGTCGTCAGGGGAAAAAAAACAAAAACAAATTTAGGTCAAATTTTTGAAAGATAACAAACATGAAAACAATTGTTTGACAGGGGGTTATATCTTAGACATATTTTGAGCGCAGGCATCGTTATCTAGCATTGAAACAGAAGAATTTTTCCCTGTTTATCGAAAAGCTTCGAGGAAAAGAAAACAAGAAATTTCGGTCAGTTCTAACATCCTGGAGGCAGGGGGCTTCTCCATACATCCTGCCCGTGATTTGTCAGTTCGTTGAAACCTTAATTGCCGTCGAGAAGTTTCTGGCTTTAGAGAATCTGTGTTTTTCTGCCTCTGTAGAAAAATGACCGAGTCCTGCCTGAACCAGACTGACCTACGGAGACTCGCTGAAGATGGGAGGAGTAAACTCTCAGCAGAGTTCATCCCCTCAACACAACTACCGGTCAGTCCGAGCTGTTTGGTGGTTAAGTTATTTTAAAGTGTTGAATCTCAACATGCCACCTGCTGGGATCTGCCTTCATTGAGCTGCAGTGTTTTATGTTTGTTTTGTTTTGTTTTGTTTTGTTTTGTTCTGCAGCATTCCTGCATGGAGGATAAAGAACACCTGCAGGTTTACCTCAGAATCCGACCCTTGACCTCAGCAGAAACAGCAGCGGAGAGTCACAGGTAGAAGTGCTTCTAACTGGAGACGATGTTAAATTAATGTGGAAGACGACCTGCAGCAGATCACACAGATCTGTTTGCCTTTGTTGCAGGACTGTGTTGCTGTGGAAACCCCAGACACGGTTCTCCTGAAGCCTCCCAGTCTGTCCCTGTTGGCCCGGCTCAGCAGTGATAAATCCCTTCCTCAGACCGGCCAGCGCTTCCAGTTCTCCAGGGTGAGACTTTGACTGGGACATAAACAGGAAGTCCATCTGATTCTTGTTAAATGGATCCACAATTAGTCGGTTATTAGTTACATCACAAAATGTACATAAGTTATTGTTATTCATAAAAAAACATAATGTATCTTTATTATATTTTCCACTTATTTAGGCTGCAACTTTTCAGCTGTATAATGCCTGCTGGGCCAATGATGCATTTAGGTCATAGTGAATCAAACAAACAACAAAAACCATGGTGGTGGAGGCTGATGAGAGCCACCCACAAACGGTCTGAATGGAGACAAACCAGCTCAAAGTTTTTATCTGCTGCCATATGCAAGTTATCTATGGAAACAAGCTAATGTGATTGGCCTATCTACTGTTTACTATATTAAATAGAGCTAACACCATTAGCAGCAGCTCACACATTAACAAGATCTATTGCTATTTGCTGTAGCTAATCATTACTAGAGCTAACGGCATTAGCAAGAGCTAGAATCATTGGCAGGGATTTGAGATAACGCAACTAGCAGGCGGTAGTGCTAACTCCTTTAGCAAGAGCGAAGAAATTGGAAGATGAATAGATGTTTATTATGAAGCATCAGTATATTTGTTGACTGTTAATTTTTAAATGAATAAAAACTCATCAGCTTTTAGTCTTTTTACTGAATGTTTCTCAGATGAAAGGAGGATTTATATAATGGTTCTGTCTTTTTAAGGTTTATGGCCCAGAAAAAAAACAAAGTGAGCTGTTTGAAGGCACCGTCAAAGATCTAGTCAGAGATGTCCTGGAAGGAGAAAACTCCCTGGTATTCACCTATGGAGTCAGCAACTCTGGGAAGACCTTCACGTTCCTCGGTACAGCAACCCGCAGTGTGAAGGACCTGCTGCCTGTAGGGAGCACTCAGATCTGACTGTGCTGCTGTTTGTGCTGCTGAAGGTCCCGACTCTGAAGCTGAAGCTGGAATCCTGCCCCGGGCGCTGCGCCTCATCTTCAGCAGCATCGGTGACGACGTATTCCAGGGCCTGAGCGTCAAGCCGCACCGCTGCAGGGAGTTCCTGGCTCTGAGCCGCCAGCAGCAGGCCGACGAGGCGCAGTTCAAGAACACCTTGCTCAAACAACTCAGAGAGGTGAGCGGCTCCGGGTCCGACACCCGCTGGACCCGGACGGGCCCAACGGAAGCAAAACTGTTTAGGAGGCAGACTTTCAGTTAGACTCTGAAATGATTTTATCATGGTTGCATGCCAGCTGAATAAACCTGGTTATGCAACAGTGAAAGGATGAACATACATTTCTAATCTTCATTGCATTAAATATTAATGACGAGCGTTAGTTCTACAGGAAGCCGACATTAGTAGAGTTTCTCTCTCAAACTTTGAATGTGTTTATATGACTGAAGTGAATTTGTTAGATTCTGTTTTAAGTTAGATTTATTTTAAGTCCTTCAGGCGACATTTGTAGTAAATTTCCACTGAATAAATAATCTGAACTGACCCAGTTACCATCTTAACAACACATTTCTGTGGCATAAATTTCTGTATTTTTAGGCAGATATTTCTGAGAGAAATTCAATGAATATTCTTAAAACTGAATTTGTACTCGGTCATCTAGACTGAATTAACATGGTAACTCAGTCTGGATCAGTAAAGTTCACTTTTAAGAGAAAAGCTCGACTTTCTGCTCAGCGTTGCTGGGAAATCTGTTGACCTCTGGAGGTCACCTGATGCTGGATGTAATTCATTTATTCTGTTTCCTTCAGAATGAGAAGAGGAGCAGCAGCCTGCAGAACACGACCAACCAGACTTGGTTTGAAGGTGAGTCTGATACCTGTTTATTTCAACCAACAGCTTTTCTAAATATTTCACTGACTAAAGCTGCAGTAGGCAATTTTAATAAAAATGTGTTGTACATACGTGTTGAAACTGTCACTGTCCTGACAGAATAATTTGAAACATTTAGTCAGACTCTTCCCAGTGGTCCTACTGCCATCTGCAGAAATACACCAATACAGTCAGACACAACCAATCAGAGCCAGTGTATACACCAGAATGATTGACAGCGTTAAGACGCTCCTCCTGGCTCTAACTGGCTGTCTTTTACCAAGCTATATATTTCTGCAGATGGCAGAGGAGATTAGATTTTATTTGATCAGATTAACTGTTTTATATTTTACTGTCAGGACATACAGATAATTTTTGTGTGAGTGTTTGGAGATGTAGCTTTAAGACAGCGTGTTTCTCTGCAGCTGTCTGTAGGGTTTTAGAAGGTCTGTTGTCTGCAGGCTCCTCTGCACCGCGGCCCAGTACTGCAGCCCAAGACAGAATCATCCTGGACGTCAAACCCAACACCAAGTTCTCCGTCTGGGTCTCCTTCTGTGAGATCTACAACGAGAACATCCACGACCTCCTGGAAGTGGCACCGAGCGGGGCACCGCGCAGGCCGGCTCTTCGGCTGGCACAGGACGCCAATAGCAACGCCTATGTCAAAGGTCAGGGCGCTGAGCTGCAGCTGAAGGTTTTCTGATGTCAGACAGGAAGTGACTGATGGCTGCTGTGTGTTCAGATCTGCGCTGGGTCCAGGTGAGCAGCGCTGAGGAGGCGTTCAGAGTGGTGAAACTGGGCCGGAGAACCAGAGCTTCTCCTCCACTCGCCTCAACCAGCTCTCCAGCAGGAGGTGAGCAGCGCTGCCATCTTTCCTCATGCCCAGCTGCTTCCTGCTGCTCTCTAATGGCCGATTGTCTGCTTCCAGTCACAGCATCTTCTCCATCCGGATTCTGAGCATAGAGGATGACGACCCGCCCAGAGTCCTCACCATCAGCGAGTGAGTAGAGGAACCTCACCTGCTCCAGCGTGTGCAGGTTAAACATGGCCGCTCTGCCCTGCAGGTTGTGTCTGTGTGACCTGGCCGGCTCTGAGCGATGCGCCAAGACTCAGAACAAAGGAGAGCGCCTGAAGGAGGCAGGAAACATCAACGCCTCGCTGCTCATCCTGGGGAAGTGCATCAAAGCTCTGCGCTACAACCAGCAGGCCAAGTGAGTCAGTTCCCTCTGCTGGTTCTGACCCGTTCACAGGAAAAGTTAAAGCCTTGAAATGTCTGAACTTTCCAGAGGGTGCCATGCAAATGCACTTCATCCAGTTCTGTTTTTGAAATATAAAAACTCAAGACACTTCTTTTTTCTTAACGTTTGGGTTGAGTCGTGTTTCCACCAGCAGTCTGTTGTCTCCTGCCTTCAGGCTGCTGCAGCACATTCCCTTCAGGGAGAGCAAGCTCACACACTACCTGCAGAGCTTCTTCTGCGGCCGGGGCAAAGCCTGCATGATCGTCAACATCAACCAGTGCGCCTCCATGTACGACGAGACCCTCAACGTCCTCAAGTTCTCCGCTGTGGCCCAGAAGGTCTGTGCAGTCCTCCTCTCTGTCCCTGGAGAGCCGTCAGGGTTAAATGTTTCTGACTGAGGAGGAGTGG